AATGAGTTGCCTAAGCTACTGTGACTAAGCTACTTCTCAAGTAACGGTTCCCATAGAAACAGAACAGCTATCACATTGTCAGGCACTCATTTCTTTATATGCATGTATAGTAAGGCACAGCCTCATGAGCTCACCTTGACAATGCTTAAGGACACCATTAATCTGTACTCCAAAAAAGACCACCTGTCTGTCCCTGAACTTCTTTGACACTTCTCAGCATGTTGAGCGAATAAAAGAGAAGCAAGCAAGACCTTCCGATCAGCTTGGTTATCAGCTGTGTAAGGAAGGATCCTTGTGGAACCAGAGAGTTTTGCAAGGCATAATGATCAGATTTGAGGGTTAATTTGAGTCAGGACTATAATTCTCCACTGAGGAGGAATGCTAGTAAGCTTCCTCCCATGCTACAGGATACCTGCCATTCAGCACCCCAAACAATGTCTTTGAAAGTCACTGCTAGGAAAGTGTTGCTTCTGAAAATGAGCCAACAATTGTCCAACACCAACCAAGAGACATAGGTTGTCTTTTGTTGATGATTTGGCTCCCCAACTTATAGAACAAGAGGACTAGACCACTGTGCATGATAGCGTTTGGGGTTGATCTGCAGGAAGAAAATCACCAAGCATTTCTTCCTCCTTCATCTTAGTCTAAAAATTCTGCTGCAACTTGCTCAGCAATTTAGCATCACACAAGCTTCCATTCATGGATGGGTGGTAGCTGCCCAGGCACGTGATTGACTGGGAATCAATTCTAGGTCTCTTGCATGGAACTTGAAAACCCTCCCACTGAAGCCCCACTGTCCTAGAAGAAATGTTGAGAAAGCAATAAAACTAAGGAGCTTTTGATTCTGGGGTGTGCACCAGTATCCGAAATCTGACATCCTCCTGCCCCAAGCACTGCCCACTGTGCCCCAAGCTCACTATCCAAACTGCCTCCTTGTCCAGCATCTCAACTTTGTCCCAAACCAAATCTTTAATGTTCTCTCCAAATGAATCCTCTCCATCTCGGCAAACAGCACGACCATTTCCCCACTTGCTTACGACAAGAACCTGGAAGTCATTGTGTACATCTCTCCGTTCCTCGCCTCCTTCTCCCCCAATCTAAATAATTTTCAGTTACTGATGGTGCTACCTTCAACATCGTCCAGAATCCAGTCATTTCCCTCCATCTGTACTGGTACTGGATCCGATCACTGTTCAAACCTCTATCCGGATTTTCCACGTTCACTCTTGCTCCTCACTTTTTCTCTGTACCAAACAGTAAAGTAGGTTTCACAAGGCGCTGTGGAGTTGACACTGACACGTGGTGATGATACTTGCTTCCATTCCATTAGTGCCTGAGCAGGTAACCCGTTTGTGCCCATGGACTTCAAGTGCAGCTAAAGAAAAGCAAAGCCTAAATGATGTCTTGTTCCTCCCTGCTCTGAAGTCCTCCAGTGGCTTGCTGTGGAACCTCCAAATAAGATTCAGCCTCTTGACGAGGGCTGGGAAGAGCCTTTGACAATCTTCCCTCCTATCTCTACCTGCTCATCTCTCGACTTTCCATCTCTGTCAACTAAGCTTGGTCACACTGGCTTCTTGTCCCTCAAACTTTAAACGCTTTCCAGGATCTATTATTTGCAGCTTCCCTCTGCTTTGAGCATTTGTTCTCCCTGATTACCACGTGACTAGTTTTTTGGGGGTCAGTCATACCTCAAGCTCAAAGTCCCCCTTAGGAAGACCTTGCCCAAACCATGCATGCTTTCTGCACTGCCTTCTCTGCCCTGCCTCCTTTGTACGCACGCTGTTTATACCTGTTGACTTAATGTCTGTTCCCCTGACTGTACTGGAAACTTTGAGAATAGGGAGTGTGGCTGTTCTGGCCACTACTGGGGTCCTTATCTTTAGAATAGCACCTGGGACCAGCAGGTGCCCAGTGTTCATTTGTAGCACAATTTAGATGCAGCAGTACTGTAGGGTGGAAGAGCAGGAATAAGCACACGGCTCTTACAGCTAGGTAAACCACAGTTTAAATAGTGCAATGCGTGACAGTGGGAAGATCACAGACCTTCTCCCAATCCAACTTCTGTCAACTGTCAGATGGGAATAAGACCCCTATTTTAGTGAATTTCTATGTTGTTTAAATTATGTAACCCAGTGTTCAAAGCACTTAGAAACGGGAATATGGCCATCAGAAAATCCATTTCCTACTCTAATGTGAAGGGAGGCAAAATTATTTATTCCAAAGCAAAATATAATAAATATAGAGCTTGTCCACTATAGTATACTTGAGTCAAAAGCTTTTGATTGGTACAAAGGTATACACACACAGCTACATTCACATGGCTTCCAGTGTGATCTCTTTCTATGTGGACAGTCCTACTTATAGATTCGTTTCGCAAGAGTTGTTGTGGTATTATTATTGTCTGATTAAAAGGCAACTAATCAAGCACATTAAAAAAGTACCATTTTTCTGAGGTTTCCATTTGCATCAATTCTGGGAACCAGATTGAAAAAAAAATCACTATCTGTATCAATGTATAAATGAAGGATTTAGGTTTTCACATCTAAAGTTGTTCACCTTTTGGAAATCATATGTGATAAAGTTTCTTATCACATACCTAAAATAAAAACAAACGTTTCATTTTATGAAGCCTCTAAGTACTAATGGTTGACATTTAAAAATAAAAACCAGTGCTTGCATTTGTAATGTATGGTTTAGTGATTATTTTGTTTAGACGCTGTTGAGAACCCAAGAGAAGAATTCAAAGCAGCCCGGGGTTTCTATGTTAGGTGTGAATTCCATTGTAAACCAATATTTTATGGCCAAAGACTGACACAAGGCCAGTGGGTCATGGGACGCCTGTCACCTTACTCTAATCCAGCGGTTCTCAACCTGTGGTTGCGACCCCTTTGGGGTCGAACGACCCTTTCACAGGGGTTGCCCTATTCATAATAGTAGCAAAATTACATTTATGAAGTAGCAATGAAAATAATCTTATTTTGGGGGGTCACCACAACATGAGGAACTGTATTACAAGGTCGTGGCATTAGGAAGGTTGAGAACCACTGCTAATGGGTCCTCTCTCAATGGATAACAAAGTATTGATCCAGACAACTGTTGAGTCAAAGGTGAGGAGTTCTGGCCCTTATTGAGGGGTGACCATGTCCTGGCTGTTTTAAAGGGCTAGTTTTCTATGTGCTTTCCTTTCTCACCACCTGAGTGGGGTCTAGGAGCCAGCTTTCTTCTTAGAGATTAGTTGTTAATGACATCATCATGGCTCCATTAATGTCTCAAGATTCTTCCTATTAAATACTGATTGAATTTTAAGTTTTAGTGTTTTTTTAAAAAAATGTCATCATCCTAGTTTCAATAGAAACAGGAATTGTGAGAATATTGATAGAAATAATACAAAAACACCATGGCTCATATTTACTGCGTCCTTACTAGTGAGAGCCAGAAAACAGAGCCTATGAATGATTGGTTTGGGGCTTTATATTTTTCTTCTTCTTCTCATACATAGCATGTCTGCTTCTGCTTTAACAGGAAGGTGGAGCATATTGTGTTTTACAGATCTCATCTCTGAACTGAAGTTCAAATGAATTTTTCACCTCATTGCTCCTTTTTTGGGGACCCTGTATTTTTAAAGGGCCAAAGACAGAGAGCTGTACCATGAAGTTCAAATGATAATTACAACTCTCCCACGTTTCCCTTCAGAATTCACCTACATAGCAGGCACTCAAATTCTATTTGCGGGAATAAATGTGTTGCAGGAGGAATGCTTGATTAAATTTGTAATGAGAGTATATACATTTCATCGGCCTTAATCTTAACACCTAAGTGTGATAAACACCTAGAGTTTCTGAGACACAATAATTCCGTTCCCAAGAAGCCAAACCAATGCTTCCAGGACCTAAGTTGCGCCATATTATCTCTTTCATGATTAAAAAAATGAAAATACCACATTCATAGGATTAATCCGGAAATTAAGTGTGTCCACATTAAACCGCATGATCTTTTTGATACATCACCTACATTTGAAATCATCAAGCAATACAGCCAAAGACTATCCCAGGATGTGGGGGATCCAAATGCATCAAAAATGAAACTAAAGTTCTCGTCATGACCTTTATTCCTCACCTACACTGGAATATAAGTCTTCACCTTCACCAACAAGACAATTATTATATCATCCCTAACACGGGCTTGCTGGTCCTACTGCCCCTTAGAGGTCCAACCTCATAGATAGTTCAAATCGATTCAGCTCTCACAGTCCAGGGACTTCCAGCCCTTTGGCAGGTACCTTGAAAATAAAACACCAATACTGCTAACCACTGATGATAATGCCAGGGAAATATAGGCTCCACTGAACATGTCCCGGGGAGATCAAGAGAATATTAACAAAACTAAAAATAAAACCAGGAAACAAAGCTCCCTGCCACTGGGTCAATTCAGAGTCAAAGAACACAGAACTGTCCCTTTGGGCTTCTTAAGCTGTCAAATTCAAGGGCACAGGAAGTCCCATTGTCCGCCCAGGGAGCAGCGGGTGGGCTCACACAGCTGACTTGAAGCTAGAAGCAGGAGGCATAACCACTGTACCACCAGGACTCCTTAATACAAAGCAAGGGACTAGTACATAAATTCAACACCAAACATGTTTTCTATGTTTCCTATATATCTTAATGTTTTAAATAACGTTCAACCATTTTTAGTCTTTGGGATCTGAAACTCTATGCAATTTATCTTTTCTTATTTTGAAGGACCTGAAAATAATAATTTTTTCCTTCATTGATATGTTTGTCTCTCATATATATATTGTGTAATTATATTAGAAAATATTACATTATAAAATAGATTTTATTAGAAAGTATTACATTATATATGCTTGTGTGAATAAATCAAGTTATTTTTCTTTATAGAATTTAAATTTATTATTTAAAGCTGAAATCTATTTGGGCACAAATAATCAATTCTAGGCATATGTATTCTAAAGAAATGAAAAACGGCTGTCTCTTTGTACTCACCCTCCCGTATCTGTTGGCATAGGACCCAGTAAGCAAGGAATGGAAAACAATGATCGTCTCATCTAAATCCCAGATGAACACCCGCTACAACAACAAAAATGAACAAAATCAATCCACCTCTGCTTTGAGTAACTTATTTTTGTTAAGTTCAACATTCCAAGGCAGCCTTAAAATAGGATACAAATAAAACCTCTGGACTTTGCTTTTCTTTCGGACAGAATTGTTTCAAAGACTATCTCCTACACTTCTCTTTTCCAGGGAACACCTCAGATGAGGTACAAGAAGTTAACTGCCTTAGCAATACCAGTATAAATATAGGAAAGTGATAACAAAATGGGTTCTTTCTACTTCTGCAGTAGAACTTCATCCCAATTTGGGAATAAGTTAAAATAGAATGTTGCAACTCTTATGTTCATAACTTCTAAGATACGGAGAAGCAGCAATCACTTGAAAATCATTGTCTTGATCTTTCTTTTGCCCTTGATTTCCAGTATTAAGTGCGAGAACAACGGATCTCAGAGGTTACCCTATCAAACCAAGCATTAATGGTTACAAAGGAAAAAAAAAATTTAACATCATTCCTTCATCTTATGTTACCTATTTTACAGAGAAAGTATATATTGTTCCTCCCAGTGTTTTTTTAAGCCTTCAGACTGTAGATATTTGATCATTTAAGCAGACACAACACACATGCTTAGACACTCCCTACATGTGTTTAGAATCAAATTTGAAAGACCCTATTTTCAAAGGGTCTTTGAGCCATCACAGAAAGCCTCCCAAGACTGCTTTCTTCCTAGTCCTGTCCCCACTCTCACCAGTACGTACTCATACACATAGAGTCCACTGGAAAAATCCATCCTTTCAGCCAAAATAATCATGTTTTTCACCATCAGATTTCACTTTGGCAAAAAGCAGCCACCTAATTGCAGCGGATTCAAGGCTATGAAATGTACCGCCCTTTAAGGCCTCACTTAATCCCTCCTGCTTTTGAACGCCACCAAAACATGTCTCATAAGGTGATTACCAGTTCAGTTTGGAACATTTCAGAGTTTTTCTTTCTGAATATACACAAGCATGTCTTTAATTTCAAGAGGGATTTTATTAAGCAGGTTGAGTCCTACTCTTACTTAATTGGAATGGTATTACATAAAGCAGGATAAGAAAGTTTAGTTCAAGCAGACGCACCCAATTTACTAGGTTTCTTTGCAGATGAACAAGCCAGTGTTTCATTACATAGTTAATCAGAAAGCAATAACAGCTTTGTGATATAATTAATGCAGGTGAAAAAACAAGTTTTACCTTTAATTAACATGGAAGACAAAGTCACAAAGCATCAGACACCTCAATCATTGTTGTGCACATCGGAGGTCGGATTAGGTCACCACCAAGTTGCTAAGTATCTTGCTCTTTGGGATGTTAGCAGTGACATACCTCAAGATCAGAATCGGGAGGAGGTGAGGGATTATTGTTTCTTCGGCCCCGTCCACGTGACTTCCCATCTGAACCTCGACGCAATCGATCCGGATCAGAATCTTTAATGGGTGTTGAGGGGCTGTGGATTGTATTGTACTCTGTAGAAAGAGAGAGAGAGAAGACTTTCGTTCAGTTCTGGTGCCATGGGGGCCAAGAGTAACCTTGTTTTAACTCAGAAAGGAGGTGTAAAGAGTACAATGCATTTCATTCTATCTAAATCCTATAGGATCTTCTACTTGCCTTGATAACTTATTTATCCATTATATGGTGGTAACACGTGTTCAGAAAGAAAGTATGATCAACAACAGCCACTATGTGATTAGTGGTGGGAGGCACTGCGTTGCACTGCATTCCCAAGGTTTTCCCACGTGGTTCTCTGATTAGCCAATGCTGGTGCCCATCCCCAACTGTCCCCCATTCCTCTCCTTAATCACATCATTAGATTCATTCACATGCTTAGCTCGGAATCCATTCTCCCAACTGGAGAGGGATTCTAGTTTATGAGAAGACATGCAAAGAAAAGCCAGCTCAGAGGTAGAGAACACTGAGGCATCAGCTAGTGTTCTCAGAAAAATTTAGAGGTCATTTTCAGCTTGCCTTACTTTACTGCCTTACTACTCTCTTGTTCTCACATAAGATGAAGAAAAGCTAGATGCTGCACATAGAGGAAGTGCTACCCATCACAGTCCCTTCAGGTGTCTGTCTTTGAACCAAAGCTCCAAATTCAGGTCGTACATTAAAATTACTCAGGTAAATCAAATCAGAAAAACCATTGGAATTATAATAGAGAAACCACAAAACAATGAAGGAATCAGCCCTACGTACAGAGCATCTCTAAATAAGTCAGAGGAATAGCTGAGCAATGGCTGTGGAGGTGGAAGAGACTCTTACCTATTTCCAGAATGGACTCAAGCACTTTACTCTCATCCTTTAAATATATCTCCCACACCCGCAGTGGGCCTTTCACATAGCAGACAGTCTCCACCTCCCCCAACGTCAAGGTGTGACAGGGTACTTTCCCTCAAAATTCCCTGCCAGATTTCTGTCCTTACTGTGTGTTGGAATGGCTCAACTTAATAGATGGAGTAGGCAGCCATTTTGACATGATTATTCCCACTCTCATGTTCACAGGACCGAAAAAGAGAGAGAAAAGTTACAAACCGGGTGGCAGTGATTAATTCTACCTGCCTCCAACTCTACTAACAAAGCCATCCATGTGTGAACCACCTGGTTTCTGTGTGACTCCAAGCTTCAACGGTTCTCCAAAGTTTCATGAGTTGAGAGGCGATAGGCCTCTGACATGGTCAATTCTCTTTGTAAATCACAAGAAAAAGCTCTGTACCGGTTCAATATGGAAACCTGTATAGGTTCCTATCACTTTTAGAGGAACCCTTTGCCCGGCCTCTGCCACAGCAAAAGAGATGGGGACTTTCTCCTATAGACTAGTCTCACCACCCTCCTCCCCAGACACCAAATGCTGACTTAAAGTAAGTCAGTTGCAGTCAGAAAGTTCGAAACACAGCCGCTCCTGTCAATTATTGATTTATCTATTTGTGATGATGCATTTTTAAACTAACATTTCACATGGCTGTTGTGATACAGCTGGCCAACTTTCAGCATTTGCTAAATTTACTGTGGACTGTTTTGTCGGTCTGGTTTTTGGACAAAAGTAGATGATGGTGGCCATTTCTCCGAAAGACGTTCCAAATCAAATATCTTTTCCACGTGTTGGAAAGAATGCTGGGATGCCAGTGAATATATTTTTCATCCATTAAGTGGATTCCTGGAGCTGTGGTGGTGCAGTTTGAACCCACCAGCTGCTCCATGGGAGGAAGACATGGCAGTCGGCTTCTGTGGCGATCTACAGCCTTGGAAACCCCAAGGACACGTGGAAGGTGTCCTTCGGGACACGGAGAGTTGGAGTGGATTCAAAGGCAGAGGGTCTTTTGTTTTCTTCTTTAGGGAACTCAGTGGATTCAAGGTTACTTTGTGAGAAGTCTATGCCTCTTTCCTTCTTCGGATACTCCACATTCTGCATCACTGTGTAGAAGCTGACATTTGCCAACGGACACTCTTCAATCGTTTCAGAACAGACACTCACTTTACAATCCATACAGTTGGTATCTAATTTAACCTGAATTTCAGGTTCTTAACCACAATCTACTTTGAATCATGAGCTCTCTAACTTTTGATATATTTGAAACTCATATTTGAGAATGAGACAAGAGGTAGGCCATGCATGTCTCTTATATATTCAAGGCAACAAGAAAGGGATCTCTATGTTTTCCCTTCTAGTGGGTAGAGGCAGCCATTATTGAAGGCAGTGGCTCTCAACCTTCCTAATGCCGCGGCCCTTCAATACAGTGCCTCATGTTGTGGTGACCTCCAACCATACAATGATTTTCACCGCTACTTCATAAATGTAATTTTGCTACTGTTATGAATTGGGCAACCCCTGTGAAAGGGTTGTTTGACCCCCAAAGGGGTCATGACCCACAGGCTGAGAACCGCTGATTTAAGAAGTATTCAAGATGATTTACCATCAGTGGATTTGATTCTTATAATAGCTCGATGAAGATTGAAGGTGACATTTTATTCCCAATTTACCATGAAGCAAAAATATAGAATAGTTAAGTATTTTGACAAAAGCTAAATAGTAAATAGGAGAACTAAGTTAATATCTGTGTGCCTTTAGTTTTTTCTTTCTGCAATGGTACCTGAATTATTTTCAGTAATCTCCACAAAATAAAGCATTCTCAAGAATGTTTAAGCTAAAATTATGTGTTAATGTTTATTCAAAGTAAGTTCAAATTTTTCTATATGACTATTCCTTTATTAAAAAATTGCAATTAAAATCCACTTTACCCCAATATGTAAAATAAAACCCATACAATAAATTCCTCATAGTGTTTAGCACTTCTGACAAGTAATGCACCTTATCAAATTACCCTTTTTCTTGATTTCTACATAGTTCTAGAGTTAAATTATCTTCAAAGTAGTTTACCGTCCCTAAGTTTTCTTAGCCTAGCTTCTGTCCTATTAAATAGTGCTTATTTCTTTATCCTTACTTTAAAAACCCAATGGGATCTTTTAAAACACAGTCTATCTCTAAGATTTGTTTTGGAAAGAGACAACGTATAATTAAATCAATTACTCATTTCTGGGGACCTCTCTAAATAAATTCAATGAGGAAAGGACAAAGAAATATTTTGAAATATTATCTGCAGTGTTCCCAAAGTTGAGGGAAAAGAAATAAATACAAAGTGGACAAGTGGACTATTTGATACCTTCAAATATCATATATAATGTGTTTATGTATCTACATATATATGTATCGATATATGTATGAATCGTACAGGCCTCAATTTATGAGAAGGAAGAAGAGATTATTTAACTGATGCAACCTAGTTCAAAAATCACTTCCTCTGTGTTCTATGAGTTGGAACTAATGCTTCTCTCCTAACCACCTTTCCTGACTCTAAATTCTCCTTCCTTCTATTAGTGTAAAACAACTGGGAACAACAAATAATTTAATCTTCTAATCCACTGGCATCTCCTGTTTCGTTAAAGCCCTCTCCAAATTGTTCAATTACCCCCGCTGAGATAATGGATGGGAAAGCACTCTGAAGAGCATTCATGGCCTTGAATAAACATTGATTGGATGTTCACACGCTGCTAGGCACTTTGGTAGAGGCTAGCAGTTGAAATATAATGATGGACCAAACACAGCTCCTGCCTTCTTGTAGCTTTAAGTTCAGCGGAAGACACAGATCATGGGCAAAAGCAGGATATTACAAAGCAATGTGTTTCTGTAAAAGGGAAAGGTAGAAGGCTAAAAGACTCAGAGAAAGACCCCATGACTCAAATTCACAGAGTTAAAAGAAAACTTCCTGAATATGGAGGACAAACTAACCAGTCAAGATGTATGTAATAAACCCATGTGTATTCCAGGAAGGAGGGTCAGCGTGCACAAAGGTACAGACAGAGAAAAGAAGGTGGGAATGGAAAAAAAAGAAAAATTTCAACATGACCTGTATCTGCAGCAGGACACAGAGATGAGGAAGGCGTAGGAGGCAAGGGAACCCACACCGGAAGGACATCATCATTTTAGAAAGACAAATCTAGCTCTAGTGTGGCAACAGTGATGGAGACAAGTCAAGACAGGGAGGGAGGTGAGCTAGGAGGACAAGTCAGCAGTCCAGATGAAGAACAGTGGTGGTGGCTTGTACCTAGGTCTGGGGATATCAAGGATGAGCGATGTGAAGTGTTATTAAGAAGTACAGATCAATAGCGGAGTAACTGATTGGAGAAGGATGAGAGAGGAAATCAAGAATGACAGGGGGGATTATAATCGGCGGTAAGGCCTTATGAAGATGAGTGAGAAGCCAAGTTCAGTTTGGGGCATACTGAGTCAGCAATAACAATTAGTGGGCAGGCAGAGAGCTGGTGGTCTGTATTTTGAGAAGCAATGCACTAGAGCAGTGGTTCTCAACCTTCCTAATGCTGTGACCCTTTCATACAATTCCTCATGTGGTGGTGATCCCCCAGACATAAAATTATTTTCGTTGCTACTTCATAACTGTTGCTACTGTTATGAATCGGGCGACCCCTGTGAAAGGGTCGTTCGACCCCCAAAGGGGTCGCGACCCACAGGTTGAGAACCGCTGCACTAGAGACTCACCCCGAGTTGTTTTCTTATCTCACTATAGGTTCTCACCGGTAGGTAGTTTTCACAGAAATTAGTCCAATAAAAACTTCCATGTGGATAACTTCTAAAGCTTTAGCTCCCGATTTTTTTGCCATTAATAGCCACTGTTCGTTAGACTTCTCTACACGAATGTTTCAGAGGCACAACCATATTTGTCCTAAACTGAAGTCTTCGTATGAAAAGTTCTGATTAATGAGATCATCATCTACCCAAATTCTCAAGTTAGAAACTTCTTCCTGAATGAGCTGTAGTCAAGTCCTATGCCCATTCTAGCCACAGTTCCTTATGTGATATTACAATTCTGAATCCTCTGTATTGTCATTCTCTCCCCAAACCCTGTTTTGGAGAGTGTTTTCTACCATACTAATGGATAGGAGTAGGACGGGGTTA